TCAAAGCGCCGCTGCCAGCTGGACACCGCCGCAACCCGCCGTCCTCGTCCTCTCAAAGCGCCGCTGCCTGCTGGACACCGCCGCAAGCCGCCGTCCTCGTCCCCGGCCCCGCCGCTACTATAGCCTCTGGTTCTCTTCCCTTGATGAATACATTTATCAAGGGGAGAGAACCACAGCAAGTGCCGCTCTCAGGGAATCTGCCGCTCCAGGCAAACGCCTTGTTTGCCTCGCGGCTGATACGCCCCTGCTCACACTGACACTTTATGCTTATTTCAATATTCAAATTTCAGTCAACAAAATTAACCAGAGAATTCTTGGCAGTAAAAGTTCAACAGTGTGCTAAAGGTTGGGTTACTCTATTTAGAATAGTAATTTACTAAGCCTCAACTAAAGTCACCTAAGGTCACATCTTACAGTTGCTAAAACTGTCACGCACTGTGAGAGATTAAGTGGGGCTCAGCCAAAACCTTTTTTTTTTATAAGTTTTGGCTAGAGTGGGGAAATGCAGGTTGTCAGGATTTTATTGTTGCTTTGATCCATGGTAAAGAGATTTCCTCGTATATCTTGTTCTTGTGACTACAAGGTAAGTAAAGAGATTCTCCCCGAATGACACAGACATAAAAAAAAAATCTGCAAGATTTCAGTGTTATTAAAAACTACTTTAACTACCTGCTGCCCGGCCGTTGTAATTAAACGGCCGGACAGCGGCTTCTTGAGGGCTGGTGGGCGTTTTTAAACGTCCCATCCCGTTTGCTTGTTTGCTCCCTATGTGATAGCAATAAAGTTCAGTGGAAAAAAAAAAGGTTTAAAAAAATTTGTTACAAAAAAATTAAAAATCACATATCAAAGCAATAAAAAAAAAAATGTAGGTCCCCCGCCCCCACATGCACACGCAAACATGCGTCAAGCCCGCCTACGTGCGAAAATGCCGATTACATCCATTGCACCGCACATGTTGCATATCGCCGCGAACGTCGCAGTGAGAGCAATAATTCTAGGGTCATCAATCACTGATAACACTAAACTGATGAGCGGTAAAAGCTTTTAAAGCGTCGCCTATGGTCAATTTTGAGCATGGTAGTTTTTTTGCGATTTTAATGGGTGCGCACAATTTTAAAGCTTGACATGTTTGGTGTCTATTTACCCGACGTGACCCCGTCTTTTATATTTTACCAAAAAATTGGGTAATAATAAATGTTTTATAACATAACGTAGGGAGAACAGGTTTTTTTTCAAAATGTTTGGTACTTTTTTTATTATATAGTTAAAAAAAAAACCCGTAGTGGTAATTAAATACCACCCAAAGAAATCTTCCCAAAAAATGGTATAAAATTAATTTCAGTACAGCGTTGCTGTCAGTCAAAGTACTGCAGCGCTGAACACTGGAAAATGGCCTGGACAGGAAGAGGGGTATAAACACACCGGTCAGCAAGTGGTTAATATTACAACCAGTAACCAATAACATCTAAATAGAAAACCTGCTAAAAATGTAACTTTTCATTGATATATTTAGCATACACTTTTAAAATAGCTGCAGTAGGGGTTCAACCTTTGAGATACTTGCAGAGGGTGCTGCATTTATTAATGTTCTGGGGATTGCATTGTTTGATTAAAATAAATAATGGCAAAGGAAGCACTAGAGTCAGTTATAGAATGGAGGTCAGTAGACCTATAATGTCATCTGGGAAGTGTTTTTTAAAGGAGAACTATGAGGCGAGTGAAAATCACTCAGCCTCATTGTTTGAGCCGACCTGTGACAATGAAACTGTCACAGGTCGGCTCAATAGATCGGGAAGTGAAGGAAGTGAGCGAACACATACCCTCGCTCGCTCACTTCTCGATCCTGTCCCTGCAGAGAGCCGTGACTCTCAGTCACGGCTCCCTACAGGGATCCCCCCTCCCCTATCCGATCCACCAGCGCTGACTGGCGGAACGGATGGGGGAGGGGGCAGGCAGAGCCAGCTGTGCTGAGCTTTGGGTCAGGGGAGGGAGCTAGTTTGTGTCCTCCCTTGACCCTGGGGAGAACTATGGGGAAAAGCACTGACCCCATAGTTCTCCTTTAATGTTATTGCTAATAGTGCATGTGAATGTGTGGGCAAATGTTGATTCTTATTATACTTCTCATGTTTTTGAGTCATTTCATATATTGTTTTTTTTGTTTTGTTTTTTATTTAGAAGCAGCAGTTTTATGAAGATAGGCACCAACTTCCAACACCAAAGTGGATTGAGCTTGCCAATTTAATAAACAGCTGCATGGACTATGAGCCAGATTTCCGGCCTTCGTTTCGAGCTATTATAAGGGAATTAAACAGCTTGTTTACTCCAGGTATATAGATACTGTGTAAAAACAGTGGAAGTTGTGGAACTATATCAACATTTATTTTTTATCATTTTCCTTATTTTCTATAAATCAGATTTTCAGTATTTTCATGCTTTATCTGTACACAGATTATGAACTATTGGCAGAATCTGACTTGCTACCGACCTTCAGAGTCGGGGCCCTTGGCTTTTCTGGAGGCTTTGAAGACCGTGATCCAACTCATTTTGAGGAAAGACATCTTAAATTTTTGCAACAACTTGGCAAGGTACGTGCTTGTGGGTTACCTTGAAAATATCTGATCGGTGTGTTTTTGGGTCATTTAGAGCAGTTTCCCAACTTCAAATGCAGTATGTACCCTTTATGTGGGTCACTTTACGTCAAATTTGTATAAATGTTCTCCAAACAATCCTTTATGCTTAAAAATAATGAAAAATATGAACTCTTATTTTATTATTGATTTATTTATTATTGCAGGTATTTATATATTACTGCCAATTTACACAGCACTTTACATAAAATTCATTCACATCAGTCCCTGACCTCAAGGAGCTTACATTCTAAGGTCCCTACCTCACATACATACATACACACACACACACATACTAGGGCCGATTTAGAGAGGAGCCAATTAAGCAACCAGCATGCGTTTCTCTTCTAATTTGAAAAAAACTCGCTACCAGAAAACAATACCAGCTTTACCTAATGATTTACTTTGCAGAATATTAAAAAGTAGGCAGTTATGTTTTTTAAATAATACAAGAAAAGCCAGGGACTGCACAGTTTCCATCTTTGTCTTGCACATATTTTAGAAACGTTCCTCCAGTATTATCTGTAACTTGTACTTTGTGTAAAACGTATTTCTTCATTGAAGGGTAACTTTGGAAGCGTGGAACTGTGCCGTTATGACCCTCTACAAGACAACACTGGTGAAGTTGTAGCTGTTAAGAAGCTCCAGCATAGCACTGAGGAATACATGAGGGATTTTGAAAGAGAGATTGAGATTCTGAAATCCCTTCAACATGAGAACATTGTCAGATACAAGGGAGTGTGTTACAGTGCAGGTAAGGCCATGTGGGCAAATGCAGCCCTTTTCACACAGATAGGCTGGCCATATAATTAGAGTTCCTCCATCTTTGATGGGGATCCCCCTTCCCCGCCAGGCTATTGTATTCTGTCAGCGGCTGATTGGCTGCAGTGACTGTTCTGACTAGAGTGTTCGGCTCCTTCAGCAGAAGTCAATTAAAAAGAGTGGAACCCTCTAGCTATAATTCTGAAACCTGGTAAGATAAGGTTATATACTAGGAAGGTCAGAATTTGGTGTTGCCTATATATTAATTGGCAGTCATGTTTCTCTCCCTTGCACTTCATGTCAGCCACCTATCGAACATAGACCATTGATATATTATATATTGTGCTAAAAAAAAGTCGTGTATGCAGCCACAATACACAATATTTTGGTACCACAAATTGCGTTGTGATTGAGCACATTGCAGCTGGAGGTGTGTTTTGGAGGGCCATTTCAAATGAATGGCAATGCAACGTAACTCCCGCACTGTAACTCACAGTAGGGGCGTTGTGCTATAGCGTGCATTAATTGCATGGAACCTTGCCATTAACACACCACACTGGTGTGAACAGGCCCTAAAAAAACCCGACAATTTCACTACTGCACTGCTTTTCTTCTAAAAATATTGCATTTGTTCACTAAGCCCTGGTTCACATCTTTGCGGGTCAGGAGCGCGCGGCCCAGAACCACGCGTTTGCAGGCGGTTGTGTGCCGCGGTTGCCGCGTGTCCCCGTTGATTTCAATGAGGTCATATCCACGCAGCAAAAAGGCTCATGCCCTTTGCGATTTTTTTTTTTTCCGCAACCCCATGGATTGCTAGCCACGAACGGCTAGCGGTTTGCGTTTGTGCATGAATTGCCCAGATTTGAACCAGGCCTCAATGAGCACACTGAGCCATTTGGTGTAATTCATACAGCCTGTATTGCATTACAGCAACCAGATAAATTTAAACTTTTGTCCTTCAGTGGTTATATTACACAGCAGATTTGAATATCATTTTAGAGGGGACAGACAGTTTTTGTGTACCGGTAGTTGAATAATGTTGCTCGGGCAGATAGTAATGTAGATGAATCCACTAATAATAATAGGTTGATTAATTTATTTATGAAGCATAAAAGTGCATCCGAAACCAAAACTTTTTTTGTTTTGGTTAGAGTAGGCAGGGGTTAGAACTCCTGTCGGGTTTTCATTTCTGTCTGTGCCCCTGCTAGGGAGATTTACTCGAATTATACTTATGACCATTGTAAAACTGAGGGAAAGAAAACATCTGATTTGTCACCAGAACAGGAATAGAGGGGACATCTTTCAATTGACACTCGTGCCAAGGGATTGTTTCGTACAGTACAGGAAGTAAGGAGAAGGCTCCCTAATGTGATATAGATGGCAAAAAAAGACAGTGGTTTACCCATTCTTTAATCTATACATAATGAAAAATACATTGACATTTGATATACTTTAAGTTTTATTTTAAGCTTGATACATCATTAAATGTATTTTTTTATGCTAGCGGTGCAAGTACTGGAATTTAACTTGGTATCAGCCTCTTGCAGCCCCTGTATAGAGGGCTTGTGTGAGGAAGAAGCAGTACAAGGAGCCAATCAGTGTATGTGCTGACAAGGAGCATGTTGATGGGAGGAAAGAGCACAATGACAGAGAACTGAGGTCATCACTGTGCTGCCACGCTTTTTGGACCTTCACAGGCTGGGGTCGGTCCTTGACAACCTGGGTTTAGAGGAATTAGGTTAAATGATTTTGGCCATCAGAATAAAGACATTTAGTGGCAGAAAAAAATTACTGGGTGGGAAATCTCTGGATTGAAGTTGAATAGTGCAGCAAAAGCTGTGTAGCATCAATTCATTACCATGCATTCTTAGCTAATTGTACCGATTCTTCTTTTTTTTTTTTAATTCACTAAAGGTTTTATCATGCAGATCAGCTAAAGGTACTGCATGCATGGTATGTTATTAGTTTTAGGGGTATGTTGTATGTTAAAGTCCATTTACAATGATTATTGCACAGGTTTTAGTATGTTAAAATACTTCTACCTTCTAGCTGACAATAATTGTGACCTTGTACGAGGTATCTTAAGGAGAAGAGAAAATTGAGCCATTTGAGGCGGTGATGATTCATGAGAAAGAAAGAAAGAAACACTTTTAATAATTCAGTGTGCAATTTAAAGCTAAAAAAAAACCAAAAACATATTCGTAACCATGCAATACGTTTGAAGTGAACATTTAGATAAGATGAAGTAATGAATACTATGTATACTAGTACGCCTAGTGCTTAGTGAATCGACTTGTAGGAAAAACACTAACAAAAGGAGGGGGGCTTATTTACCGGTTGTCAAAACATGAAACCTGAATTGGCAATCTTATCTTTTGACTGCACTATGTGATTGTGTTATCTTTCTTTAGAAACCTTAACTGAGAATAACCATTTTTGTCTTTGCAAGGTCGTAGAAATCTTAGATTGATAATGGAGTATTTGCCATACGGAAGTCTAAGAGACTACTTACAAAAGCACAAGGAAAGGCTGGATTTCAAAAAACTTCTTCAGTATTCCACACAGATATGCAAGGTAGAACTGACCTGAAACTGCGTGCTTGCTTTGCTTTATCACAGATTTAGAAGCCTGATGATCTGAAAGTCAAATTTTATCATCTGCATTCATGTTGCAGGTCAAGGCATCGGCATTATAAATACTATATTTCGCAAGGCATAATGACCAATAAGCCCACCTAACCGCATTTGCTTTTAAAACATTGATATTAATGACTGCCACTACTCAAAAAAGACTAAAGCTGGCCATAGACTGGTTGAATTTTGGCCAAGTCCTGCTGACTTGGCTTGTGACTGAGCTTTTTTCTTTGCTCTGTGAATTAGGGCTGCAACCCACTAATCGATTCATTGATAATGAGAATAGTTGACAACAATTGTCATTATCGATTAGTTGGTCTGGGTTCCATAGTTCACTCCTCCATGCGGGGAGACTGTGTTGCAGTGGTGAGGAGAGCTACAGCTGTAAGTCGCTATGGCAATCATGGTGTGCGTACGCCCCGTTCCTCAAGCCCGCCCCAATCACCAGCATCCCGACGCTGTTATGGCGACCATGACAAGCGGACGCCAGCGCATGTGCCATACTGCAGATCGCGGCCCTCAGTGTCCCACCGCTGTCATGGAAACCATGACGCGCGGATGCCCGCGCACGTGCAGTTTGCGGATGAACGATCTGAAAAAAGCCTGAAGCATAAAGACTACATGAGACCCGCTCCCCCTGGACACCAGGAACAGATATGTATTCTGCCATACGGATCCTGTATGATAGGAACCCCTCCTTAAGGAGATTTACTACCATAGAGGGGTCTTCCAGGCCGGGAGAGGCTGAACCCGGTTGGGATAGTGGGGAGGTTCTAACATCAAGTCGTGGCCTGGAGCGAGGTTAAAAGAGAAAAGGTATGAATGAGGGGGGGGGCTGGCCTTTATTCACTTTTGGAAGGTGGTCCTGTGGGGTCAGAGGGGCGGAGCTGACCCATAAGTATGCCGACATGAGGTGAGCCAGGAAATATAGATATAGATATAGATATAGATATATTTAAAAAGTAAAAATTATGAAAAAAAAATAGTAATAAAAGGTTGCAATTTATTTCGGTGGCACCCCAAACGCGCCTCCCACCTGCAGCGCGATTACCTGCACCGGAAACATGCGGTACTGCAATGCCGTGCATTCCAGTGTGATTGCAAACAATTGTGCAAGCAGTTTTATTCTGCAGTAAACTTTGCTTGTAATTAATCTGACTAATCGAAAAAATAATCGGCCAACTAACCAATTAAGAAAATAATCCTCAGTTGCAGCCCTACTGTGAACAAATGCCATCTATAGATATGGTTATAAATCCTGATTGTGGATGTTCTACCTTGTCACTGCCATCCTTTTTTACATCTGCTTTGCTTTTCTTATTATTCTGATCTTCGCTAACTTTACATTTCTGTCTGCTGGTGTGCCTCATTCACTGATCTCATTCTGCCTGTCCTCTCTCCCTGCCTCTTGGAACATATGCTGCATTTCAGGCTGCCGCAACATTTGGGAGCAATCGTTTATTGAAATGCCTAGGGAAAGTAGCCAAGGCACACTAGATCTCTGACTGCCCATTTCATAAACTACACATACTTTCACACATATAATAGGATAATTCCTCCTACCCTGCAATAACTAAGCTCACATTCTTGATGTCCTTGTAGCAAACTTCATGACATCCGTGGAAGTTGAGCTACTTTAGGAGTGGAAGCATAATCCTGGTGAAAGTTCTGCTCTGGCTGCAGCAGCCTTGAATCTTATCATGAAGAGAAGTAGCCAGATGTGGTGTTGTGTAACACATGGCATATGGTCATAATGGGGTGATAGACATTGTGAAAGAGGGTGCCCATGATTTAGCATTGGCAGGCAGGGGAATGAGCTGTTTCTTCTCCTGCCATGCTAAGAGATGACCATTGAAATCTCAGGGAAAATGTCACTGAACCTTAAATTTTATAGTTCTTTTTTATTTAGTTTAGATGAACTGCTATAAAGATGATGTAGTCTGGCATTTGTTGCAAACGGTTGTTTCAATTACTTTTCAGGGCATGGAATATCTTACAGTCAAAAGGTATATACACAGAGACTTGGCGACTAGAAACGTTTTGGTTGAAAATGAAAACAGAGTGAAGATTGGAGATTTTGGATTGACAAAAGTACTACCACAAGACAAAGAGTACTACAAGGTTAAAGAGCCTGGTGAAAGCCCTATTTTCTGGTAGGTAAACTTGGCAATTATGTTTAGTTGATGATCTTATTTTTCTTTCAATGACATGTTTCTATACAACTGAGGATTGTAAGTAATTCCAAGTATAACTGAAATAAATACACTGTATAAGATCTTGGTTTAAAGGTTCTGGATTGGACATGACTGGGTGAATAGAGCGAAACCCAGTGTACACCCTCAATGCCAACCTCTGCCAATGCAGCACAAATCCATCCATCTGTAGCTCACCTGTCTGTGCCAAGTGGGTATCATACGATTTCCCATTTCAGATTTGTATGCACTATACACAGGGACAGAACAAGCTGACAGCAGAAGTGCTTGCTGCATTTGTTTTTAGTCTGCATTACAGAGCAATAAAAAGTAAATGTTTTCACCTACTTTTTCTGCATTTTGGATCAATAGGTTGTGACCTGTGTCTGTGTGTCTGCAGTAGAACATTTTTATAGAGCATAACAGCGTGGAGTGATTGAAACCACATTACCAAAACTGCAGTTAAAGTCAGTATCATTTATATGGGAATTTGTACAAGCCATTCAGCCAGTCCTGTTGAAGCGGAAGTCTGCAAGCAGAAAGGCTTTTTATTGCAGAAGAGATATACTATGGGGCATATTGATAAAGCAGTGAATCTGACATGCATCAAATATTCACTTCAGGGAATTCTTCCAGGTGCATGTATTTTAAACGAGTGATTGATTCACCACCAGTGAATGTTTAAAAGGTCAAATTCCCCGTTTTATAAATACTCCCCATGTCTCCTTTGCAATTAGAAAGCTTCTTACCTTCCTGCGTGCAAACTACTTTAGCTGCATGCACAGCTCTATGTACATTCTTGGCATGTCTTTGTTCTGGGATTAATCAATGGCCAGTCAATATGGCCGAAGATGCCAAACCCAGAAGATATTGGTGCTGGCAAGTGAGTTTGCGAATGCTGCATCACGCAAGAGTAGATGAGCATAGGTGACTTTTAGTTGTGGTCTTTTTCGATTGGCAACGAGTTAAAGTGAAAATATTTTTAAGCTATTTTAAATGCTGATGAAATCACTTACAATGGTTGCTTCTCCTTGATGTTTAAAAGTATTCGTTCCCTGCAGAATTAACTGGCCCCCCTGAGCACTGGCCCTGATATCCTGCTTTAGGGTGGCTCCTTTACCTTGCAGGGTCTCCACAAACACACAGACATAACAAGGCAAGCCATTCCCCTCCCTCCTCCTCCTTCACCAGGCTAGTAGATGGAGAGCTGCTGGAGACTGCTTTGTCCCTTTTGATCTCGTACTGGGCAGGAAGTTCGGGGAAATCGAGCTAAGACAGTTGGAGCCAGATGTTTGGAAACACGATGGCTGTATGTAAATAAATACTTTGCTGGGCAATGTATATTTGTTTGATCTGGATTCATGATTGAAAAAGGTTTGAGAGTATAATACTTCTTTAACTGTCCTGAATGGGATGTTACATCTTTTATGATTTACTATCTTGTTCACTTCAAAACACCACAGCAGCCCTTCTTTTCTCTGCTCCAATGTATTTTCATTCATACATTTTCATTGCAGGTATGCCCCAGAAAGTCTGACTGAGAGCAAGTTCTCTGTGGCTTCGGATGTGTGGAGTTTTGGGGTTGTCCTGTATGAGCTGTTTACATACAGTGAAAAAAATAAGAGCCCACCTTCGGTCAGTATAAAATTAAAATCCATTGTGTCAAAGTTTCATGATGTAAATTCAGTCTGGCATGCATTGATTGCAGTAAGCGCTTCCACAACACATTGACTGCATTAGGGCAAAATTCTGCAAAAGCATAGGCAAATCATCTGCTGCCTGTTCTTGGTGACATATTTGTCTCTCTATGGCCACCACATTTTTAGATGAGATGGGTTAGGCAAAAAAAACCTGTGGTAGCTGGGATGTGTAAAAAAGGTTGGGATATAGTGAGTGGACAATGACACGAGTAATATAAAGGTAGAGCTGGCGTGTCATACAGTTACCCTATTTGATCTTCTCATGATTTGTGGCCAATATAAAAAGTTACATTGAAAGACATTCAGTTAAAAAAATGAATTCACATTATATACGCTGTGACTGCTTGGAGAAGAGGCAAGTGTGCTTTGATTGAGAATGAACCGAAATGTCCCTTTTATAGTGAGCACGTATTTTAAGTTCTTATTGCACCTTACAATATTTTTTTTATGTGACATTGACATTTTTACATGCTTGCAATAATTTTGCTTTTCACAAATCTGACGTATTTTTTGTTATTTGTAGGAATTTATGAGGTTGATTGGAAATGATAAACAGGGACAGATGATTGTGTTTCACTTGATCGAGTTGCTGAAAAACAGTGGGAGACTGCCACAACCAGAGGGCTGCCCTAACGAGGTATTTCATGTTTGCTATATAGACTATTGGAAAGAATGTTAATCCTGAGCCTTTGTAGGACACTGCTAGGAACCTACCACAGCCTTTCTGCTGGAATTAGTTCTCACTGATTACTACATTGCACAGCCAAAGAAGGCGTATTTGAAGTTTTATCCCATTGCAGTTGTTATCAGTGTATGTATAGAGAGGTACAGCACTGTAGTGTCGGGTCATTGACCTGTGATAGCCTGTAACATTCCCTTTAAACTTCTGTGCTTTAATAGAATCTCTTTGGTGAAAGGATGCCTTTCTCTAACCTGAAAATTGAACTGCCACTTCCCACCTCAGAGGCTAATCTAGTAAGAAAGTCTCTCATACACTGAGGTCTGGGTATTGGGGGGACAGGGTGTATGCGCCATCCCCTGTCCCCTTGGACCCCTCATCCGTTTACCCAATGGTAAATATTCTTATCAGGGACACTGGCCATGAAAAAGAGCTGACAAATATTCCAATCCTTTCAAACCTTCCAACTTTATCGAAAGGTAGAAAACAAAAAAAAGTTCTAAAGCAAGGCAGCAAAAGTTTCCTGCTCACAAATGCTCATTTACAGGCTATTTAATGAATACATCATAAATAATGATTAGTGGTAGCATTTTAAACTACAAGATTCTGAGAAACTCCCATGGTCACTTTCCATGCTGCCATGTAGTCATTTATTGATTCCATAAAAAGCATTGCAACCACGTAAATTCCTATTGCATTAAGTATAATTAAGCACATGAGTAATGGACTGGAGCTTTTCTCAGAATCTTAGTGTATTTTCACTTTTGCAGTCAAATTTGAGGGGAAAAACCCTTTTATATGTGTTGCTATTCACACAGCATACTAAAAAATAACTTTAAAATAAATTCTTTCCCTTTTAGATGTTTTGTTAAAGCAGGTAAATGGCTGATTCCAGGTTTTTCTCAGCCCCGTCACAGTGGTCTGCCCTTATAGAAAGACCTGGGACTAAAATATGGGGATTGTGTTTATCTGATAAGCTTCATTTAACATACAATGGACAAGCCACCTTAGACTCCTCACAGCCCCTCCTAACATTTTAAAGAAATAAAAGCTAGAAGAAATGTTAGCCCTTCGAATCCTAACTTAAGTAAAAGTAATTTAAACTGCAAGAATAATTTGTTTTGCCTATGTTATGTGAATGGGAACATGTAACAAATATAAAATAGGTGTTATTCCATGTTAGTTGCAAAAGTGGAAATACGCTTTCAATGGGATTTGTTAAGATGTCCTTGGAGGCTGCTCTGTAAAGATGTGGGAGCTATTGCAGTGCCAAACTTGACCAAGCTTTCTCATGTAGAAATTGTGGCATACCACTTTCACAGTAACAACAGGTGAAAAGTTAATTTCACTTGTTACTAAATCAGCAAAATCAACTGGGAAATAGATTTCATAATGTTAATATTTTAGAATATCAAAGAACAGCAACAAATCAAAAAACAACATAAATGCCTTAGTGGCTGTAATAAAATATGATTTCTGTGCTTTTGTCTGAAATGTGCTAAAGCTGCATCACCATTTCTCCATCTCTTTGTATGTAGCCACATATCTATAACCTAGCTGAAGGAATTGTCTAGAACAGGGGTGCCCATAAGGTCGATCACAATCTACCAGTCGATTGCAATGTCCTGGGTCTTCTCTGGATCCCCGCTGCTCTCCCCCATCTGCATGCAACGGGGATCCGAGGAGAAGTGAAGAAAGCGCTGGGGGGGTTGAGTGGCGGTAGAGGAGGGATGCGCTATCACAGAAGTAAGGCAGAGCAGTGAGGAGAGAGAGGCGCTCAGCCAGGATCTGCATCGCTTCTTTTACTTCTCCTCGGATCCACCGCTGCCCCTGCTCAGGAGAGCAGCGGGGATCCAGAGAAGAAGCTGAGCCCCCCTGTGTGCATGGCAAGCGGCGGAGGATCGGTACATATCGGTGAACTTCTTGTTCATTCATGAGTTTCTGAATGGGGAGGAGCACTCTGTACAGAGGCTCCTCCCCATTCAGAAACTGGATGATAGTAAAATAGTTTCTGAATGAATGGGAAGCCTCTGTGCTACAGAAAAACAAATAGAGGAATAGGTACCCCCCCCAGTAAAAAAAATAATAATAAGAAAATGAAATAAGAAAAAAAAATCTTGGAGGCAGGGCGCTGGATGATGTCACACACCTGTTGAGGGGGCACGTTTTTTTTCTTGCCTCGGGCGCAGAAGGAGCTGGCTAAGTCTATGCTCCCGCGGTGCTCGTGTGGCTGCCAGCTGAATGTGTTAGATGCCGCAGACGGAAAGGGGCGGGATACCTCTCCCCATCTGCAACATTGGCCACACGAGCACCACAGGAGGACAGGACGCCAGCGCCTCTAGAACGCACTGGAATGCAAGCTTGCCGACTCCCTGCTTTCAGGGGCGTGGGGTTGTATTGAAGTCAATGGCCCCGCACCCATAGTGCGATCGTGGGTGAGGGGTGTGGCTGCGGTGCCATTGACTTCAATGCACAGCCATGCCCCCTCCCGCCCCTGAACGCAGGTGTTTTTTCGTTGGTAGATCTCATTGAGGTCGTCATTTGAAAAGTAGATCTCCAGACTAAAAATTGTGGGCACCCCTGGAACTAGGGATGCACCGATATATCGGCCGCCGAAACATATCGCCCGAAAATGGCTCTTTTGGCATAATGCCGATTGTGTCATTTTCTGGCCGATAAAGCAGTGCATCCATGTATTTTCTCCTCCCCGCTGGGCGCTGCTCTGTGTTCCAGCGGGGAGGAGAGAAACTGTGACAGGCGGCCGAGCGCTGCGGGAGGAGAGCGCTGTGAGCGGCCGGCGTCTCTCCTCCCACACCGCTCAGCCTCCTGTCACAAATCAGAAGAAAGCAGTGTGGGTGGAGACAGCCCGCGCTGTCACAGGAGGATGAGCTCTTCTCCCGCAGCGCCCGTTCAGCCTCCTGTGACAGCTGTCAGAGAGGAGAGCAGTACAAACACTCAGCGATCAGTGATCGCTGAGTGTGTGTACATAATATGAGGACATGGTATGGTTACTATATCCTCAATTATGAATGAATGGGAAGGGATCTACATCACCTCCTGTTCATTCATGATTGTGGTTATAGTAAACACTCTCTGTCCTCATGTTAGAAATGAACAGGAACACTCAGTATAGAGGATTCCTGTTCATTGATAACAGGGGATACAGAAAAAGAGATTGAAAAGGGAAGTATCAGGGGTCTATTTCCCCTAAGCCCCTAAAAGTAAAGTAAAAAAATTAAAATATTTTTTTTATTTTGGTTTTGTTTCGGTTTTGAAATTTGCATTTTGGTGCACCTCTATTTAGAACCTAAAGGAACTGCTTAGCAT